TAACAGTTTGTTAATAAAACACAATACGTCTAAAACTAGCTGCTGTATTAATCACTTTTATATGCTGAAATAATTGCTCTAAAAGATCAAAAGTTGTTTACGACACTATTAAAAAATCAAATTGACGACAAGAGCTTAAATGAGAACTTTTAAAAGAAACTTGCTGATATGATTATTTCGAGAATAGAAAAAGTTCTTATTCGTGACACGTTTCTTTTGTTGTTGTTTTAGATTTTAAACACAATTTCTATGAATGGTGTCACAATTATTCAAGGTAACACGGGTAGTGGAAAATCGACACAAATTCCTCAATATATTTTAAATGATTGTGTTGAACGTGGTGAACCATGCTCAATTGTTGTTACACAACCTCGACGAATAGCTGCCGTTTCTTTATGTTCACATGTTTCATCTGAACGTGAATGGGCACGCGGTTCGACATGTGGCTATCAGCATGGTGTAAGACAAGAACGAAATGAATTAACAAGAATCTTATATTGTACAACCGGAGTTCTTTTACAAAAATTAATTTCGTTGAAAACATTAGTTGGATTTACACATGTCATACTTGATGAGGTAAACTAAAGAGGATGAGAAATAGAGGCTATAGAGTTTCGATTAATCGACAATTCTTTTCTTTTTTGTTTGGTTTTAAGGTCCATGAACGTGATCAAGCAATGGATTTTCTGTTGATATTAGTGCAAATATTATGGCGTAAAAATTCTCCCAATGTTAAAATCATACTTATGTCAGCCACAATCGAAATTGATAAATTAGCAGATTATTTTAAACAAGTACTCAATGAGAAAGTTGTACCAGCTGCCGTTTTGACAATTGGTGATCGATTATATGATGTACAAGAACTATATTTAGAACATTTATCAAAGTTAGGACCAGTAAGTTATCCAACATTCTTCTGATCAACCACTTTACATGAACATTTTTTCATTGAAAAGATAGAACCTCTTAATATAGAGTCTAGTCATGTCTTAAATTTAATACATTTTTTATTTACTTTTATGAATATTTGCTCTGTTTACTTAGGTTCCAGATTTAAAAATATTTGAACCAAGACTAGCACGTGAAGCTATTGATGTTGTTGTGAAATTGTTGAAAGAATTGGATGATGATGATGGTTTGAGTGGAGTGTAAATATCTATGATCGAAATGATTTTTGAATACCATTTTTAATATTTTTTTTTTGTTAACTTTTAGTGATTTTTCATGTAATTTACCGGTTCAACGTGGAACTGTTTTGATATTTTTACCCGGCCTTTTAGAAATACAAACTGTTCATGAACATTTACGTTATCCGCGTGGAAGACCAACTCAATATTTAGAAGAACAAGATGAATGTACAAAATATCATTATGATGTAATACCATTACATGCTGATTTATCTATGGATGATCAACTTTCAATATTTCTACCAGCTAGAAAAACATACAGAAAAGTATGAAATAATAGATATAAATTAAAACTTAGTTTATCTTTTATTCACACATTTTATTCTTCTTACTAGATTATATTAGCAACAAATTTAGCTGAAAGTTCAATTACAATTGCAGATGTTCGTTATGGTATGTATAATTCTCGATTTCAAAATGTAGAAAAACTTTATAAATGGAATGAAACGAGATCAATCTCTACTAAACAAAAAAGAGTTAAAAGCTATGTCTCAACGATCTTATCTACGAAAACTTAAAATAATACTGTTTTTAAAAGCTTTAAAATTGACTATTTATCAAAGGATATTTGGAATGTTCTATAAGAGTAATTGAAGTGGAATGTCAGCGTTTTTAGATGCTTCTTTCTGAGTATGAAGAATCTAGTTCTAATTAGAAAATTCTTTTTCTCATTTTAGTCATTGATTTTTGTTTGACAAAAGAAATGGTCTGTGATCAAGAAACAAATTATTCTTGTTTACAATTAGTATGGGCATCAAAAGCAAATTGTGATCAACGGCGAGGTTTGTTTGAATTTGTATGAATTTCTAATCTTTTCACAAGAATATGTTTTTTTTGTTTATCTTTTAGGTCGTGCTGGTCGAGTATCTGATGGCAAATGTTATCGTTTAGTTAAACGTAGTTTATATAATCAATTACAACCATTTCAAAAGCCTGCTCTTCTTCAAGAATCTCTCGATCGAGTTGTAGTACAAGCAAAACAATTAAATATTGGACCGCCAAAAGCTATTTTAGCTTTGGCTGTTGAACCACCAAATATTAATGATATTGAATTAACAATATTGAAGCTAAAAGAAGTAATAAAAGAATCGTCGGATGCTCTCAAAATTACATATTTCTTAAAAGTGAACGAAATTTCATCTGCTTTTTTTATTGGTTTCTTCAGCTTGGTGCATTAACAGTAAGAATGGGAAGTGAAGAAATAATAAATCCATTTGATGGTGATTTAACATTTTTGGGACGTATTATGGCTGCATTACCAATTGATATTGAACTATCACGTTTAATTGCTCTTGGACATGTATTTGGCTTAGTCTATGAAACTGTTATCATTGGTATGTTTTCTACAGGTGAACAATAAAAAACAATTTCACTCTTCTCTTTTTGTGTTTTTAGCTGCAGCATTATCGACAAAAAGTGTTTTCAAAATTTATTACAAAGATCGTTTACAGGCATATAAGTAAGCCTTATAGTTTGTCTGAATCACTGAAATTCTTATAGGAATACATATCATAGAATGAGAAATCAATTTGCAGAATGAGTTAAATCGTTCATTTAACAATTGAAAAACTACTGTTTATCTTCTGTTTAGTATAAGCTTTATTGGCTTTCAAAAAACAAGAGAGATAAATTCCTTTATATTACTCTAAATCTTTTACTATTCTAAATATATCTTTCTCTTTCAACTAAACCTGACAAATTTATTATTTGTCTGTATTTTTATTTGTATAGGAGTAAATTTGCATTTGCCTCTGGCACATTTTGTGATTGTCACGCATTTTTAAATGTGTATAAGGTATGATGAATCATTTTTCAATAAGATTTTACTTTTGCATGTATCTTGTTTTTCTTCTTCGAGGCATGGCGTTTTCATACCACACAATTGCATTTTCGAACAGCTGAACGTGAAAGAAAATGGGCAAATGCACATAATATCGATGTCAAACGTATTGCAGAAGTATGTATCCTTGTGTTTGAGTTTTGAGAAGGTTACGGATATCTTAACACTTTCGGATGAATAAACATGATTTAGAGATTATTACTTAAGATTACCAATTATACTTTTCGAGAAAGACATACATATAGATCCACATAATCTTTTAAAACATTAAAAACTATTTTTTTTTTCTAGGTACAACTATTAGTTGACGAATTGCGTAATCGTTTACAATATTTAAAAATTTTTGTACCAAAAGAGTTCGATGCCGATCGCTTTTATCGTCATCGTAATAATCGTGATTCATATACTAGTGAATTGAGAGAGCAGCTAGATCATCTTGGATTAAAAGTAAGAATCTATGATTTACAGAACCTTGTTCTAATTATTATTATCAATTTTTAAGATTATTCTTGCTGGAGCGTTTTATCCAAATTATTACATACGCGAGCCAATTGATTCAGAAGTTGTTGATCGAGAATTATCAGGAAAAGATCCAACAAGAACGATTGTAGTACGTATAGATTCATAGCACTTTTGTAAATGTATGTCTAGAGTATCTTCTATTCTATTGTAGCTCCGAAATTTGCCCGTAAATGAGGGTATTCTATACAAAGGTCAAATTGAACAACAATTAAAAGCATTAGTCGATGTTGATGATATGAAATTAACATTTGAAAATACGAAGTACGTCTTACTTTGTTCAATTATGTATAGTGATCGTATTTTATTTTATTTCCTCTTTATAGAGCATTTGTCGAATTTGCAGCTGCTTATATGACTAAACAGAAAATAAATCCATATGAAATACCAGTTGAATCAATCATTACAACGGAAACATCGAATACGGCAATCGTACCGGCTGTATATTTTGCCATTAAAGCTCGGTAAAAATAGATCCACAAATGTCTCTTGTTTTTCCGATGACGTACACATCAATATCATTTTAGATCAACTAGTCATAAAATAGTACTACAAACATTCGAAAGATCAGCTGCTTTGGCACGTGTTGAACGTTTGCGTTTACTAATGTCTGGATGTGACGATTCAAACAGTTATATTCGTGAAAATCGAGAACAGTTGAATGAACACAAGGATGCTTTTTTAAATGTAGCCAAACGTCAAAGTAATTGTTAATTATAGGCTCTTGTATATGCAATAGTAACATAAAAATTCATTTATGTTTAGCTATTTTCCCTACATTACCTCAACTTAAACTTCCCGATATCAAAACAAAAGATGTGACCATCCATGTATCGACTGTTGTTGATGTTAATCAGTTTTGGGCACAATATGTTGATCGTGAAACTGTCAAACAATTAGCACACATCACAAACGTACTCAATGATCCTAACCGTTCAATAAAACCAATCACTCCGAGTCAAGTGGAAATTGGTACATTTGTGGCCGCTCCATTCGTGTTAAATCAACGTAATGCATCATCTCGTCGTGTTGTTTATTATCGTGCTCGTATTCTTCATCGAATCGATAATGTGACAGTTGAAGTGTTATTCATTGATTATGGCAATGCCGAACATTTATCCATTAACACGTTACGTCAGTTAGACCGTGAATTATATAAAATACCACCATTAGCGTTCGAATGCCAATTATGGGCAATTAGACCAAATGCAGCTAAATATCCTAATGGTGAGTATCGAAGCATTTTGTTAGTTCTAAGAAATATTGAAATTCTATTTATTTTGTATGAGAATCTTGTTATTCAACGATTTTCTTCTTGTTAGGTCAATGGGCCGCTCATGCTATGCAATTTGTTTGTGATCAAATTCTTGAACGTGACGTTGAAGCAGAAATCAAAGCTGTTGTTCGTAATATTGTGAAATGTGATATCGATCTTGAACCGAAAGGCTCTTCACAAAATCAACATGTAGCATCAATAAATACAAGAGAACATCCGCAAACACCACAAAATATGCGAAAAACACTTCGAAATATGTTAATTAATCGGCAATTTGCAGAGCAGGCTGATGAAGAACATGTGTTTGATGTAAGTACCTACGAGTATTAGCACTTCCAGATCTTTCATCATATAAACGACTTCGTTAGATGTGCCGTTACGTTTATATCTTATTTTGTTTTCTTTTAGCGTGATTATCGTTTTCGTAAAGATGCACAACGTTTTGATTCACAAAGTATCGATCTTTCGTTTTCCACTGATCCATCCAATCGAACGATAACAACCATGGACGTACCAAAAGAATTATGTGAAATATATGAACGAAAAGAAATTGGTCAACCAATAACTCTTACAGGTCCATTTACACCACTTGAAGCAAATCATTCATCGTGTCATTCAGCAACAAAAAATCGCCGTGTACAAATTGATGGTGATAGTGTTAATTCAGTAGGATTAGAAGAAGAACCGCATTCAAATTTTCGTCGTTTATTAGTTGCTGTTGGTGTTCATTTATCACAAACTCGTCAAGTTGTTTCCTTGAGACACACCACGTTAATGCCTAGTATTAGAGGATTACCGGCTCTTATTGCCATGTTATTTGCGCCAACAATCGAATTACGGTAAGAAAATAGAATATACTACAATTAATGGTTTGAAACAGTCCGAAGATATTATGAGTCGATTAAAACAACCGTCGCATTGGATGTGATACATTTGAGTCAAATCTCTTTTACAATTGTAAAAAATACCCATTATTATTTCTTTAAATTTTATATATTTTACTTCCCATCTACAATTATTTTATAATTAAGAGCGTTGTATTGTGCTTTCTCTTGAATTTTAGAGTTGATGAAGAACGTACAAAAAAAATTGGTGTTCTGTGTGGTCTTGGCTATGATCCACAAACAGATGAGGCCTTATATCCTGATCATGATATGGATATTGCATTTGATGTACATATGACTACAGATGATCTAACAGATGTAAATCGATAAAATAAAATTAGAATAAATATGTACTATCTTTTTTTTCTTCATCTAGATTAATGATTTAAGAAAACTAATGAACCAGGCATTAAGTAGTGAAGATATTTTACATCAAAGTCATAGAAAAGATATTGGTCAAATTAGAAAAGATGCATGGCATGCACTAGAACGGTAATAATATACTGACTTTTTTTTTATCCTAAATTAAATTATTTGCTTAAACAATAAAAATAAACATAGAAAACTTGTTATTTTTGTATTGAAAATTTTCTTCTGTTGTATTAGACTAATGGATCGTCCTCGAATACCATTAAAGCAAAATTATTTTCAAAATTATCTATGGAATCAAGTATGCAAATAAATTAAAACGTTTCTATTTCTCTAATTTTAACTTTGAATTTTTGTTTTCTATAGATTCATCCAGATGATCGTGTACCAAAGATACTGGAAGATATGGCACCTGAAAAATGCAAATTATTTCCGTTACACGATGATGTTATGCTTAGAACACTTGAAATTGATGATGAATTTCGAAATAAAATGATGTACCATTTGATTTGGTTAAAAGAAAAAGCAACAGTGTACGTATATATAAGGTGCCAATAGTTCAAAAGTAAAGTGAAACTTTTTCTCCTTTTATTTATACATGATTGGATAGAGCGCATCGACCTGATTAAAATGTGCCTTTTACTTGTTCAAAAGAATGTTTTGAGGGGGAAAAAAATAGAAAAAACTTCAAAGGTATAAATGGTTAAAAAACGCTTGAGTTTCACAAAAACTTATATTTCCCACTTTCAAATTCTTTTCAAGTTTCAAAATTTATTTTTTCTAATTCAGCATCAAAACTGAGTATGAGAACGATATTTGCTCGAATTGGAAGTAAAAAGTCTATCGAGTATGACTGACTTGGACTCCCTCTGTCAAATGTTAGTGAACAATTTTGCAAACCTATCGAGTTTTTTCTGAAGAGATGAAGTTGACTTTATTACTTCATTAGAACCACCATTAGAAGAGCTTTAAAAGTTGTTTTGTCACTGCGAAAATTATTATATTTCTAAACCAGAAGCGAAAAGATTGGAATTCTGTCTATAATTTTCAATTTTCTCCATCAGAACTCATTTTTTTATGCAAATTCAGAATTAGCGGCCAAAACTGAGTCGGATGATATACTTTTCTATCCTATCCTTTTTCTTTTTGCCATTCACATCTGATGATGACCCTTGAATAAAGGTCGAAAGCTCGAGTAGTGTTTTAAGTGATAACTTGAACATGCATTTTGTCGCAGTGCTATATTTCTTACTTAAAACTGAGATTTTCATCAAAAAATCAAAATCAACAAAAAAAAGCCTTTTTACTTCAAATTCGAACAAATATCGTTCTCATACTCAGTTTTGATGCTGAATTAGAAAAAATAAGTTTTGAAACTTGAAAAGAATTTGAAAGTGAAAAATTAAGTTTTGTGAAACTCAAGCGTTTTTCAACCATTTACATCTTTGAAATTTTTTCTATTTTTTTCTCCCTCAAAACATTCTTTTGAACAAGTAAAAGACATATTTTAATCAACTCGATGCGTTCTATTCAATCATGTATACATGAAAGGAGAAAAACAAAAATCCACTTTACTTTTGAATTATCGGTATCTTACGAACTTTTCATTTTACAACAGAATATTATGAATCGAGGAATGATCATTCGGCTATTTTGCAGTTACTAATTTTTCTCTGATCAATTTCGAAATACAGTAAAGATATTTGCTTTTCTATTTGTTTTTAGAACGCCATTAATCTGTGATATAACATGTGATTTGTGCAATGTTGAATTTCGTTTCACGTCAGATTTATTTCAACATCTTAGTCAACCACCACACAGACTACTTGTCCAAAAATTAAAATTGCATAATTTATAAAATTATATAATTTTAATTGTTTATAATCAGATCAGTTTTTTTTTCTCTCTCTCACTCGATTAGCGTACATACAGATAAAAACGTTGTTATTTTTCATGCCATCTTTTTTCATTTCTTTATTGAGTTATCATTTTTCTTTTTGTTTTCTTTTCATGGTATAAGATTCACATGGAAATTAGTTTAATTTTTCTCTTGTTTGTTGATCTATTTTTTTTTCTCATCTCTTTTTTGTATTCAATGTACATACTAGCTATTTTGTAGTCGATGGATATGAGTTTCTTTTTTCTGTGCTAGAACCGGTCTAGATCTGATGTTTTTCATCTTTTTCTTTTGTGTGTGGTTTTTTACACATTTAGGCTATTGCTACTTTGTGAGAAAAACTGTTGTTGGTCTTTTTTTGTTTGAGTTTTTTTTTACGCTAAAAATGAGTGAAATTTGATAGAAAGAACGAGTAAATTCGATAATAATTCTATAATCTTTGTCTTGGTTGTAGTTGTGAAAATTATTTAGTTAACCTAGTATCTAAGCAAGGGAGACGCAGTGGATCAGCATTTTGTGTTCTCCATTGCTACTTGATGACGATGATACAATGACAGACAAACACCTACGCACAACACAAGTCCGAGATTGTCAGTTTGATCGATTTAGAGATATAAAAGTTTTCTCGGAACTACTTGGAACTTCTCAGATCGCATAATTTTAGAAAAAAAGACCCTAATTTAGTACAGAAATAAACAAACTTTTATTTCGCTCAAAATTCAATCAAACCATTCGAATTGTTCAGAACAAAAGCAGATGGATAAATTTCATACTTACTAAACTGAAAAAATTTCGATTTCTCTTTTTTCTATCTTGAGTTATTCAAAAAGTGAGATTATATTATATTTTGAACAGAAGATTAGGTGAGGCGGGAGATTACTTTCTTTGTCATTTTTCGTTAAATTCTACCAGTATATGTGGGACTGATAGTAATAATAGGCATAAGTCAATGAAGAGCATACAATTTGTTTGACAAGTAATACAAATCATATCTAAATTAAGCTTTATATCACAAACAAATAACATAATAAATAATAAGATTAACATTCAGTCTATTGCACTAATTCACTCATACATAATAATTAATGTAGAATATGTGGATTTCATGCTGTTACACGCACACTAAGAAATATTTGCCTTTTATTTACGATACTTTCAGTTTTAGAATGGGATCTTTTAATGATAACTAATTTTAATAAATTCAAATAAACAAGCAAGTGACTTGGATACACTGTCGAGACTACATATTATAGTTATCAAAACTTTCAATTCTCTTTTAAAAAAGTGATGAGTGAAACAGTCCAGAGGCTATAATGATAACTATAATTATTATTCATGATAGTGAATAGCGTTTAGTACGGATTATACAGATTACATTATAAAGATTATCTTGAAAATAGTTCAAAAACTACAAAAACCAACAGAATATACTAGTTACTTCTCTTAATTATTTGGAAAATAATTCCCTGATCATTGAAATTCATGAAAAAGATGAGTAGAACCGATGACGAGGTCTCTATGAATCTTGCATAACTGGCTAGTTTTTTCTAATCACACGATAAAAAAATTTCTTTGCTTCATTCTAGTCATTAGATTGGTGGCAAAACAAGTAAAAGATCGATTTTATTTGTTTTATTTCCTTGCTGAGAAAACTCCTTTTTTAAAATGAATAGCGAAAAATATAGAAATAGTGACGCTAATTCCGAGTATCTCATGGATTTTTGCAAAAGAATTGACTTTTGTTGATGAAGATCTTTATCGGATGTATTTCTATATTTTTCGCTATCGATTTTAAAAAAGTAATTATCTCAGCAAGAAACGCGATCAGCTTTATCCAGCTATGTCAAAAACAAAACGTTCAAAAAATAGTTTTTTACTACGTTTTTAAATTGCCGTTTAAGTTTTGTAGACAATAGTCTGCTCTACAAAAATGCTATTTTTTTAGTTTTGCCAGATAACTACGTTATATTCCTTTTAAATGAAAAAATTGAATTTTTAAAATTCAAAAGTTTAATCTATTTCAATTTCTCCACTTTAATTTAAATTTTACCGGCCAAAGAGTGGCACGTTCTATCCAGTTTTTATAGTATGTGCACTTTTTGATACACACGTGGAACGTCTTGTACCTCTACAATTATTATCACACAAAAGCCTTAGCGATTTTGCTAAAAATCTCATTTGATTCATGTACCATCTGTAATTTGTAAACGATTTAAATATTTTGAGATGAAATTCGATATACGGTCGTAATTATATCATCCGAATGAGATAAAAATAACTAATTTATGTGAATAAGGTGAAAATGATGTATTTAAGATCATCGAAAACGAGTGTTTATCGACTATCCAATTAATGATCTAAAATGGCTAATTAATGTCTGAAAATGATCATTACCATAAAATGATCAGTATTATAAAATGATCATTTTTACCTAGCAAAAAAAAACGGTCTAAAAACGACCGATTAACGATACCGTTTAAGGGATAAAAATGATGTAAAGATGACCATTAATGACCAAAACATGGCCAATTAATTGGCAGCAATGACTCATTAATGACCCATAAACGAGCCAATTTTGATCTCGTTTTCATTGTCCTGGGAGGATTCAAGCCGTGCTACTCTTATTTAAATAATTCTTTGGATTATCTTGTAGGCACACTTATAGAATGTGATACGTACATTAGTCGTCTTAGCAAGAATAGGCTCTCTCTTCGATTATTATAATTTGCATATTCTGATCCAATAGTGAGCTCTCTTTTCTTATACATGTTTGAACTGAAAATTACCGGTGCATCGGAACTACAATAATCACAGTAGTTCTGCCTGTGTAATATCCAAAATGGTCAAGAATCTTTTTTCTAATAGCTGTCCTTTGCCTCAACTTCATATTCGGCCGTCATGTTTTTACTTTTTTGCAAAGAGTGAAATATTCAATGTTTTTAAGAAAGATAGTGATTAGTTAATCTACTATACTCCTTGTTCAATGCCAAAGATTCTATCCGACATAATCTGTCATATTCGAGAAAGCTAACGTTTGAGCGAACACTATTTTTGCTTTCGTAGAAATAGCATTAGACGCAGTGTTCTCTCATTAGACATTAGTTCTTCTCATAATTAGATTGAAAATGGCGACCATGTCCTAGACGTCTGATTCTGTCTGTGGAGATTTGTCTTAGTGGAATGACAGAAAACTTATATATAATACCGTTTTCAGTTAGACTATTCTGAAACACAGTTGGCAACGACTGTGAAATCTAGCAAAAATCGAAAGTGCACTTTTTGTACATTGAAATACAGCATAATTTTCTTTCGAATACAATATTTAACCGTAAAAAGCTTTTTGGTCCAAGAACTGAAGACCATGAGAAAACACAGTCAAAAAATATGGCGAAACAACCAAAATGTGAGCGCAGGTGAACATCGTTAAATGATGTGTTAGCACGCGTGAAAAAATTATCCGCTTGTGACTGACTAGTCATCCACTGTGCACGAAAATGTTTTCCATCTTATTTTTCGCGCGTGATCACGAAAAGACGTCAGAATGTCTAGAACAAATTTTATTATAAAAGATAGCACTTCACATTAATCCATGTGTAATTTTTTCACGCAGTTCTTTTCTATCCACGTTTATCCACAAGTGAAAATGTTTCGATTAGTTAAGATTTCCCATGGTAAAATTTTATCGAAAGGAGTAGTATCGGTAAGGTCGTTTTTTATACGAGGTGAAAAATCCCAGAATTTTTTGAGCAAAATTCTTACGAAGATTTACGCATGAAATATGGTGAAAATTGGTTGGCAAGGGTAGGTACAAAATTTATTCTACATTCTCCGTTGTCAAGCTGGTTCAATGATAACGTTACGGATTTACAATTCAACGTGCCTTGATTTGACCCAAAATTTTAGGAAATTTATACTTTGGAAGCCACAATTGTTTCACGTGTGACCACGCATGAAGATTGTTCACTTGTGTACACGAGCGCAGATTTTTCACGCAAATTTTTCCTCTGAAATTCTTGTTCCAACATCAAATGCATATCGACCAGTGAAGGTCTTCCATGCGTGATCTCAAGTGAAAAACTTTAAAACCGTTTAACATTAAAGACCGAGGATTTTCTGGAAACTCGACTTTTCAAATGATAAAAGTTTTTGAACATGATCAGTGGAAAGAGCATGTTTTGACCTTCTCTAGGATTCGAGAATTAGCTCAATCAGTTCGGCCTTTATCGCTTTAGTTTCCTCATGTAGCACGCCTATTCTAATTTGACTACGACAAGTAGAATATTCGACTGTGGGCGAAAAACTAGGGTGAAGAGAGAAACATTTCTGTTTTTTGCTGTTTTCGTTAAAACTATATATTTACATTTCGACACATGAAATAGAAAACATATTTTTGGAAAAAAACTATATTATTGTGCAATTAGAGTAGTAACGGTAGTAGTATAAGAAACATTTAGAGAAAAAAATTCAGATTCTCTTTATACCAACGACAGATGCTTTGTATCAAAGCACAAAAATATTTTCGTTGAGATTTCTTATTTTTACTTTTGGTAAGTGTGAATTTAATATTGAAATACTTGTGACATCAGAGATCATCATATTACATTTATTGATCTTAGACGTATCACTGAGTGAAGATCAGACATTTTACCATAATTAGTACACCACAATAACGTTTGTGTCTCAACTGTAACACATTTTATTGAGGCGCACTATAGATCAGTGTTAGACGCGTTTTGTGAGACGCGTGAAGACGCAACCTTTGACATACTAACGACCCATTTTGAAAGACGTATTAAAGCATTTAGTCACTGGACATCATAGTCGTGTCGCCCATACCAAAATATATATTCAGTCAAATGTTTAGAACTCTAACTCATGTTGGTGACAAAATATTCTATAAATACTTCAATACATGGCCAATAAAAAAGGTCTCAAAATCGTGAAAAATCACTTTTTTGGCTGTCATGCAATCGCAATACCTTTGCCAAAACTCAACCGATAGGTCTAAGAATTTGATTCTAGACCTAAAAGAACGCGCTCTACAAGATGCGACAGGCTGTATCTAGGTATGAAACGGCTTAGAACGATGACCACGATGACGATAACATTTTATCCGAGGGTCAAACTGATCAGATTTGAGTGCACAAAGTGTAACGGCTGACACTTAACACAAAAGGAACATCTCTGTTGAAACAATCCCTTAAAAACAAGGCGCTATTCCGTATATCTTTTATTCGAGAATAAAAAAACACGGAATCGTTAGGGCAAATGCTTGATGATGGACAAATCATACGGGTACTGTTTGAGTTGGTCCTTCTCGTCAAAGTACTCGAAAGTGATTAAATAGCGTTTGAAAAGCACACCGGCGACGAGTTACTCAGCAGGAGAAGTACATCGGCATCGATCGTTACCACTCTCGAGTATACTGATGTTGGGCATGATAATGTTGAGATATCGAATGGTAAAGACCATTCAGATTTCGACGACAGTCGCCCAAGACAAAATTTTTTTGATAAAACTGATAAGATTCCGAGAAGAATGTTATCAGTTTCTTATATAAGATTGTTTAAGATTTCCCGTCGACAGTCGTAAGTGTCTTATAAGAATCTTATAGGATTTTCAGAAGAAGTTCGTAAGAAATTCATAAGAAGTACCAAAAATTCTTATGTTATTCTTATGCATTAGAAGGCAGCTTATGAGTTGGTTTTTCTCTGATTTCTGTTATCATTAAGTGGCTTCTATTGGCTGGAAAACTTCATAAGAATTTCTGGTACTTCTTATGAATTTCTTACGAACCTCTTATGAAAATCTCACAAGATTTTTATAAGACGCTTACTACTGTCGATGGAAAATCTTAAACAATCGTCAAGAAACTGATAAGATTCCGATAAGAACCTTGTAAGACACTTGTATGAGACTTAGACGTTTCTGGTAAGATTCTTATATAAGAATCGATGTCTAGGACGACAGAGTGGAAGCCATTCTTGATAGCACAATGATCTAACTGTTGGGGAAATGTAGCTCTCAAAATTTTTTTTGGCTTGATCCCTCAAGCATTCGATTAATTGTGTGACAACCAGTGTGCGGGCCAACAAAATTTGGACTGTGGTTGACCTACAATTTAATTTAGATGCTCATAAAGTTTTAAAAGTCGCCGTAGTTTACTTACCGTTTCATGATGGCATATTGATAGGCATACTGTGTTTTATAAGGTTTTTATATGCACTCCATTCATCCGACCATACGGTTGTTCCAGGTACAAGATGCTTGAGTATAATCGGGGAGCACCAACTTTAAGGTCACCACGTTTTGGGGGAGCATCTGCTAAAGGAATACCGTCAAAGCGATGAGAGAATTAGTAGTGGTCGACTAGGCGACAACTGGAAGCCGATGATGAAGAATCCTCTCTTTCAATCGATCATACAATTTGAGATTAGGTTAGGTTAGGTTAGGTTTTATTTGACAAACAGTCATGAGTACACAGTAGCACAAGTTTTTTAAACACAGCTAATACAGAAATGACTAGAAGAACATATTCTGCCGCGCACCCATATTGAGATACCAGTAACTCATGCACTCTGTTCGGCTGTTTTCGAGGGTGGTATGTGGACTGCGCGAGAAGTGAGTGCATCTACTAGAGTGACACAAATGCACTTCAGAATAGGTAAACTCCGTTGAAATTCAATACATGAAATTTTAAAATTCAAGCCAAAAAATTAAAAGAACTCATTTACAAAAGAGGATTTATATTGACAAACGCAGTTACAGAGACATTCGATGATGTCGTCATGCTACGTATCAAAAATGCCGTGAGACGACATTACTGCGAACCGCCATTATGTCGACATAGACCATAGGTAACAAATTTTGTGGAACTCCCTCACTATCTTCGAAGAAGAGGGAGTAAAAATTTTATACCCAAAACCCACGGTTTTTATGGTAAATTTATGCACATCTTTCAGAGATATTGAGTTGAGATTAGATGTGTATGTACACCATCTGAAGGATGTCTTTACATGATTTTACAATGCTTTTACGCGATGTTATTTCGATCTTTGCTTGATATTCACAACGACACGATATCTTAGTGCGATTATTCAGCAATGGTTTAATCCTATATTGTGCCAGGGAATCTGTCTGAGAGTTTAGCTGTGATAAATCCCAAATATATATGTTTGGTTAGAAATAATACGTTTCATCCATGTTCTGTAACATTCACTGGTATATTAAATTTCTACTTCAGTTTAGAACTACTTTTCTTTTTTTAAGACTAGACGTCTCAGTATTGGGAGTTCCACCTTTTAGCACCTTCAGATGCTATCCTGCCAAGGTTTTTCATAGTACACATTGAGCATTTCTGGCAGTGTGTGGTGGGAGGTGAGGGGGTGAGAGCAGTGTGAGAGTGAGTTCGAAAAGTAGTTTAGTTATCAATACGCAATGTGTGCTATGAAAAATTTGCCACCTATGGTCTATGTCGACATAGCTAATGAGTGGATACTGATGTATACCATACGAAAGATTTTCAGTCCCTAATATAGCTGGGGGGGAAATTCCTATGGTCTATGTCGACATAATGGCGATTTGTGGTAATGTCGTCTCACGGCATTTTTGATACGTAGCATGACGACATCATCGAATATCTCTGTAACTGCGTCTGTCTATATAAATCCTTACGGTTGTGTGCTTATTTTGTACATAAACTCACATTGCCGCACTGCAAAAGCTATCTCATAAACTCACTGTTGATGCGTCACATTGATGCACCACGGGTTATTAAATCCTCAAGAAAAAATTTAATGAACTGATTCAACACATGAACCGGGACGATAAAGTAAGGTAAAGAATGCTTTTCTAAAACTTCGGCGGGCGATATCGTGTTGAAAATCATAACCGCAAAATCATCAGTTTCAATCTTCCAGTATGTTGGTTTAACATGTCCTTTCTGAATGATTTATATTATTGATCTCAACGAAGTTATCAACAATTGAAGAGTTATTAAGAATTGATAAAAAACATCTATATTCTTTTGAGATGCTTTTTGCCAATTAAATCTCTAAGAATTATTCTTTGAATACGCCCCACCATATGCATATAAAAAATGGTTAGCTACTTTTTTTTAGCTGTGATAATTATCTGCTGTCTCGATAACCTTAATTGTATCACGTACAATGTATCAGTAGAGAGATATACAATGAGACCCTGGCAAATAACAAGTTTTCTGTTATTACTATTGTTTATTACTATACGTGCATTAGCTAGAGAACGTGGTCTTCGAGTTGTACCCGTCACATATGGTAACTATTTTCTCGTCTCTGTAAATGTTATCGTTCAAAAAATTTCTAAAATTTATTTTTTAGAAAATGTTGATTTAGTACCGGGTATCAGTTGTGTGACAATTAATACAATAATAACATGTTACGCTGTTAGCGCAAATCGTAGTGTGAGTATTATAACTATAATCAATACTGTTATATCTACCTAGGAAACGAATGATCATGACCGGTGATCTTTTTTTCATATTTTTCTTCTTAAGTATAAACGTTTAAAGAGATAAGTGTGAGATTCATTTTGCGCTTTAAGGTTAATATAATATGAATTTCGATAAACAAGAACACAGATTATTGTAGACGTACCATATTTTCTGCAATTTAGGTCTTGTTTCTTTCTTTTCATTTATTTTATATTTAAAAGATTGAAAAACGATCAAGTACCTGGCAAGTGCTTTCAGGTATTTATCGAGCAGTATTTTTTGAAAATACTTGTCAAATGCTTTTCAAGTACCCGCGGAAATTTGCAAGTAAACAAGTACCCACTCTTAAGTATATTCACTAGGGATAGTAGAAAAATTCTTTAGCTACATTTGGGAAGCAAAAAGTTTTTTCAAATAGACCACTAGAGAGAGCGTAAAAATCTAAACAAAACTCGTATCTATAGTTTTTAAAATAACAAATTCTACTATTTTATAAAGTCGAATATTATGATTATAAATTCTAGAATTTTAAATTTTAAAAATATGCGAGTTTTTGCAGGGATGCATCTTCCTGTTCAAAATGAAACGCCTTCGAGCTTCTTTAGTTGGATAATTATAAACTGAATACGTCATTTCAAAATAAGGCTGTGAAAGCGGTATCCAACGAAAAGGCTGGTAGAAACTGTGAAAAACAACCGATCGAACAGGAGATCGTGCACAGTTGACAGTTCTCTTGTTTGAAAGAGAAAATTCTGTTTCACAGGACCACATCATATTTATTCTTTAAAACGTCTATGATGATGGATAAGAATATGAGACGACGACATCGATCTAAACTTTTAGGATTGACTTGTTCCTAAAAAAAGAATTTGGAACTTACTTTTTTAGGAAGAAATAGGTCAGGAGAATGGGGAAAAACTACGTTTCTTTATTTAGTTCTATGAAAATTAGTAAAAAAAAGATTATTTAAAGAATGGTCATGGCTATTTGTTTTTAGTTAAATAATAATGCTACTATGACATGTTTATATCAAGTTTTTGTTTCTACAAGCTACATATTTTGTATTCAGGCTATTTATTTTGTCAATAAAACGACGAAACCTGCTGGTCCATGGTCAAAATGGCACATGCTTGTCTTAGAAGATCCCTCGTATGATAACAAATTAGATGGTATATCGTGTATTGCGAGAAAAAATCGCTCAAAATGTTATTTACGTTTGGAAAATGTGGGTTTTGAATATTTGATTGAATTAAATCCTCTCAATTTAACATGGTATCAATTGTGTGATCATCTGGCCACAAAGCCGGTAACACTCTTATCCAATGTCAACAATATTAATATTTTTGCCCGAACAGTTAAAAATGAATTATATCATAAATATGCGAATGATACGTGGTATGTAGATACAAAAAATGACTATAAAATTATTGGCGAAGTGAGTTGTGTAACAGTGAATGTTGATGGTACGATTATCTGTTATGTACGTACTGAACAAAATGAAATATTAATATGGAATCAAGCCGATGACTCATTCCAACAACTTCAAACACCAAATAACACCATTTCTTTTTTAACTGATTTATATTGTACATCTGAGTATGATGATGGAATTACAACTGTAGTATGTGTTGCTACTAGTACAGATTACAATGTATATGGTATGCTCTGTCATTCAAATGGTATTCAGTGTAGTTCATGGATATTATTATCAATAAAAACTAAATTCCAAATTCAGTTAAGACCATTAGTCTTCTTTTATGGTAATCAAAAAAGACATTTAGGTTTGTATGCAGTGTCCACTGATAGTGAACCATACATCTGTACATGTCAAAATTGTACAGAAACGACTAATAATTGGAATGAAATTTGGTCTGAATGGATGTTATTAACATCAGTACGTCCGCTACAAACATTAGAAAGCACATTTATTAATGATCAAGATAAACTGGCCTATATTGTGGCCATTACCCAAGATGATAATATGGCCTATTCAACGTTTGATGGTCAGCATCATATACCACGACCATTTCTATCATTATCAAACAGAGTTACTAGTTATTAGTCACCGAACAAAAGTTCGAACTAAATTAATTCTTTTTTGTACAACAGAGATAATAACAAATGTGAACATTCGATCACAACACACACATACAAACAAACAAAAAACTACATAAATTATAATAAATTGTGAGTATACAAAAAGGCTCAGTAGCTGTATACGGGGCAATTCACGAAGAGTTTTGTGCAGTTCTCATTTTTGCATAAATTGATTTTAATACGATGCGTAATGTATACGCGCTGCTCAATAATTGCTAGTGCCATGCATCTACGTGACTACATACTGATGAACAATGCAAATGAACAAGCTGCACGATATACGTATGTTTTGTGTCGATACTAAAACATGTTGATACTGTCCAGTTTCAAAGATGATAGTTTCTCTTATTGTTTAGTTAACTTTTGAATGAAAACTAATGCGATTGTATAGTAACAACATAGATTATCTATCTGTCTTGTTCCAACGAAAATGATAGTGAGTTTTCACTAGCGTAGATTTGTGAAGCAAATGCTCGTCTATTCAGGCATATCTTTGAAACAGCGAAATTATACATCTGACTAGCTATAGTAAGTTATATTCATCTAATTATATATCAAAGAGACCAAATTGAGTCAAACGAATCCGTTCCGAAATTTTTTTTCCTTTATCCGATTGAACCTAGAAAAAAAAATTTTTGCATTAGGAAAAGTTGTTGAATTCTGCAAACAATATCATGCTACTTCACCTTCTATACAAACCCTTATAATGCTAAATTATTTACATCATATAGTCACTTAAGGTTTTTACGACAATTAATGTCTCCTTCCTACGATGGACATAAGTGAAAAATATCTTTCATTTGCTTAGTTAGAGCAGTGCATTAGAATACAACTAATATGAATTAATCCATAGAATAAGTACAAATGACCAGTGTCTAATCGATTCTTTTAAGACGACACAGACCACCCTAGACATCGACTCTTATACCAGGAACGGTGAAGAAACTTACATGAACTGTGTAAGCAACAAGCAAGTATCTAATAAAAATCTTATAAGAACCTTACAGAGATCTCACACAAGATTCCACAGGAAAGCCCTACGAATTTCATACGACACTTATGCGAGTCGTATAAGATTTCCATAAGATATTCATAAAAATTCTATCAGAACTGGCGAAAAGTCGTGAATTACTCTTATCAGATACTTAGCCGTATTTCATAAACGTCTTAAGAGTCCCGTAAGAATCATGTAACATTCTCATTTGACTCTTATATTAATTTTTATTTATTGCTGTAATTGAATCATTTCGTTCTGTTCTTTGTAGCCCCATTGAATTCATTTCTAATAAGTTGATTTGTTTCAGTAAGATAGCTCATTTGAATACAGCATCGACTTTATGAAACTAATTTATTAAAACTATACAAAGAAATTTTTTATTAAAAGAAAAAAAAAATAATACATGATATGATGTGGTAAACACGCGTTTATCACTAATGTCACCAGCTCTACACTGTTGATCCCGGACTTTTAAATGGAGGTGAAATTTGATCTAACTGTGAGACTGTAGTTGATGTTGTTGCCTCAGCACTTGGTACACCGTGAACATACTTTCCCACTTCTTGATGGCAATTCGGACATAAATGAAATATATCTTTCATTTTAGATGTAAGCTGCGTGCACGTTAGACATCCAACACAACAAAGAAGCAAAAGAACTCCGACAAATAGAGCACCTCTGAGAAGTCTTTTTATTAATACAAATTGTTCCACGTTTATATCTTCTGTTATTAAATGTTGCTCGATTTCTTGTTCGTTCAATCCTTCCTTTTGTAACTGTTGTTTTTCCATTGTATATATCATTAATATTACGCCTTCATCTTTTTGTAAATAACCCATACAACCGGCAAAAAGTAGTCCCAGCACAGTGCATATTCCACAGCCAATAAACATTCTTTTCGCTTTACTACCATTACGATAAATAACAGTTGTATTTATTGTTTCCCAACAGGCCCTGAAAAATGAAACAAATTCGATATCACTATTACTGGTACTACCAATACCACCATAAATCATAACAATGTCTTAGACATTGTGATCTTCATGATAGAAGAAATATTTGTCATGCAAAAGTATATCCAGTAGTTTATGACTCGATTTCGAACACAAGAGATATAAATTAACTTCCTAAATAATTGATTGTACAAAATTGTCTCAGATGCACACACATAGAAATTTTCCACTTCTTCGTAGCATACTTATAGAGAAATAAGTCTGTCATACCAGCATTCGACTTGTTCAGATGTCTTCCCTAAATTTAACATTTTTGTTTTTTGTAGTTAGTGTATCTTTAATATCACAACATGACGTTTCTAAACTATTAAATGTGATACGTTGTTAAAACTAAATTAGAAATTCGGCAAGTTTTTATATACATCTTCTAAGTTAAAAAATAACGAAACAAGATGATAGTGTCAATTTTGTTTTTAGAAAATAAAAAGTTATATGAAGACTAGAATGGCGCTGGAAAACGTTCGAGTATTGATACACTGAAAATTGAAACTATTCAATTATTTTCACAAAATGAAATCCCTTATAAAAGTAAACTGAGCATGATATCTAGTTTTTAAGATAACAGTCTCTCTCATTGTTTGATTAAGAAAGAGCCCACCAGAAAACTGAGCATGCATACAGGTAGTTGTTAAATGAAAAAAAGTTAATATGTCTTTTTTTAAGATTTTATCTGAAAGAACATACAAAGTTATCTGGAAATCCGAAATTGTAGATCTTAGAAACTTAAAATGGCTGGGTCAGAATTCGGAGCTCTACGATATTTATATCACATTGAAAAAAGTAAAAATTTAATTTTTCATTGTTTTTGCGGAAAAAACCTATGTCTTCTAGCCTTGAGCAGCATCTTCCAGCAGTTCTTGAACTTCTTCTCCACAATTTTTTATTGTTTTTTCTCGTATTAAACATCAACACGACACTCCAGAATCGTAGGACTTTCAAGAGAAGAATTCTAACACGGGCATTTTAAGTTTCTAAGGTCTAAAATTTTAGATTTTTAGGTACCTTTGTATGTTCTTTCCGACAAAATCTTAAAAAACATATGTTAATTTTTTTCATTTGACAATGATCCTTGCACGGTTGGCGGACTCTCTCTCAACTTCCACCATTGTATAGTAAAAAGTTAAGACCATTTATATATGAAAAATTTATTTCAGATTTCTAGTCTAACACGGTGACCATATAAGGTCCAAAAGGTGCCTGTTTTAAAGCATGCTATTGGACATTTAGCTGTTTTAAAGATATGTCTGGATAGGCGAACATCTGTTTCACAAACCTACGCAAGTCAAAACTTACTATCATTTTCGTTCGAACAAGACAGATGGATAATCTATGTTGTTACTAAACAATCGCGTTAGTTTTCATTTGGAAGTTAACTAAACAATAAGAGAAGCTATCATTTTTGAAACTGGATAGTATCAACACATTTTAGTATAGACACAAAACATACGTATACCGTGCAGTTTGTTCATTTGCATTGTTCATCAGTATGTCGTCGCGTAAATGCGTAACAGTGGCAATTATTAACCCTTTGAGTCCGGGATTATTTTGTCAAAAAATAATCCCTCAAAGTAGCGACATTCCTGTAACTCAAGAACTATAGTAGCTAGGCACTTCTAATTCTGTGGGGTCATAGCTCTTACCGAATGCTGATCACCCACCAACTTTGGGACTCTTTTACTGGATATTTCATGAGATATAAGCAATT